ATATAGGGTTCGGTCCTATCTGTGGTTTCAGGCATCCTGGTGGATAAGGAAGAACTGTACCCTGTAACTATCAGCTAGTTGATGGGAAACCAAAGACTGTAATAACCAGAGTTATATAGAATAGTTACTAATAAACAGAGTTTTAGTTTCTTTAAGGCCCACATGAGAGAAGGCAAACCTAGTTCTGAAAAAAAAATCACAAAATCTCTTTAGATTTTATAACTGTAAATCAATCAATAAAAATGGTCTCTTTAGGGGAAAAAAAAAAGAAAGCAGAGTTTAACCATACAAGAACCACAGAATTTATAGAGATAAGATAGCATTTTTTAGCACCCTATTCTAGTCATCCTTTGTGTGTACACAGCCACAAAGTATCTTTAAGAAGAAATAAACATAGTAGTGTGTTAAACGTAATAAAACCTGGGAAAACAGTGCACGTTGTAAGGAGGTCTCAAAGACTGTAGATCAAACATGAATGGAAGCTGTTATAAAAATCACAAAATACACAAGTAACTATGTACATCTACCAACATAATATTTGCCACTGTATATAATATGTATTAGTTTTCATCATTAGGAATTATTTTTCAAAATAAATGTACCTAGATAAAGCTATTTTGTCACACGTGTTAATTTTTAAATAAATCATAGTTATTGTGATTTTTACCAACAGTAACAAATACTGTGGATATTTCTGTGACTATCACATGTATCAAACCTAACTTTTCTTGTTTATATGTCTCAAATATTGGGTTAGAAAAATAACTAAATGTCCAATGGGGATTTTGAAAAAGAGATATTTTATTAATCTTTTTATAAGTTATATAAAAAACTCATTCACTGAAAAAACTTGAAGACAATTTTTAAAACAAGCAAAATCACCAAGCTACATTGAGGAAATATGAATATGATATAAACTACCTGTTTGTTATTTGTTTGTTTGTTTTTTCATCCTCAGCATTAGACTTCATCTGCCTGAGGTTCACTATAAATGATTGTTATTACTCAAGTAACAACTGTTACTTGAACACTGTAATACCTACCTCAACCTCCAAATGGCCAAGTGTAACTCAATTATAACACTTAAATTGATGTAAACGCTTTGCTGCTAAAAATTTGTTCTGGTCACTTTCATTAAAATGTTGATTTTTTTTCCTCCATGCTTTTCTTACGCTGTATCTGCTGTTAAGCAATACAATATGGGAAGGACTTTGAAATGATTTCTATATCCATACACATAGTGTTGAGTGTATCAATGAAAATCCAATGACGTATTATTATACTTCATAAAATTTCTATTTTGACCTGTTTAACAAAGTTTTTTTTGTACATACCAAGACAGTCATTCAAAGCATTTTAAATATTAAATTACTTATCAAAACACAGCATATAAAGACCTTGACATTTGTTAAAGAACCAAGGATTTAGCAACAAAAATGAATTTAAAGGACCAGAACAAATCTTTAGCAGAACACAGATTATGTGGCAAAGAAGTAACTTATTGGAAGATAAAGCATATTTACCAAGACATACTTTCAACATATATGTACGAGAAAATTTGTTGATTTGTATGCTAGCAGACTGTTTTAAAGAAACATAAAATCTGTAACAATGTTTCGGGAAAGAGAAAAAACTGTTATAGTTCCTTTAGCTATTATTTTTTTATTACAGGAACACATCAGTAGGTCTAGCTCTAATGTAAATTTTTTGAGGCAAGATTCTCTCACTATTGTATTTTCATGTGGGTAAGTAATTTTAGAATGATTATACATTGACTTATTAAATTGCTTTTTTTTTTCATTTTTAGAGTAATCATGGGACAAAGTAATAGCTTTGTAATGAATGCCAGTATGTGGTTCTTTTATAGATGTGTTGTTTTACTCCTCAATTTATTTTCTATATATCTGTTGGTTCAAGAATTTATATGATAAAAAAAGAATCTCACTAAATGCAATGAGAGAATAAGCTGTATTGATTACTGCTCAAATTGTTTATTTACACATAGCTAAACAATAAAAGCTTTTAATCACATCTACAATATTGTTTTCTAAACAATATATTCACATAAGTTTTTATGCAATTTTAAACACTAGATTTCTATAGCATTTTAATTCCACTAAAAAAATCTTTCAAAACTGCTATAAAGCTATTTTGTAATATTACACAATATGATTTTTAAATAATAACTATTTGCTGAAGGAATTACACCAAACAACAACTCACAAATTGCCTTTTATATATAGGTACATTGTGGGTAAATACAATAAGATGTGAAGATTCATTAACAGCTTCAAAATAAAGACAACAGAACAGTGTTAGGAATAAAAACTTGAGTCATTCCGTAAATATGTAGTCAATAAAAAAAAACCTTTAGAATGCAGAAACACTGTTAAGAATTAGGACTTTGTCTAAAATAAAAGCTGTTTTAATATAATTAGTTTATTTCTTTATGAAATAATTATTTTAGAAGCGTATGAAATTATCTCTAAATATTCCAGTACTTGGTCCAGAAGTTGCCACCCTTCTTACATGTTATTACCATCTTTGATAAAAAGCTTATATTAAGATTAAGACATTAAATAATACATCTTCATAATATTAAGATTCATCTAAAATATGAATCAATAACAGTATATTATTGATTCATACTTATTTCTACGTATTATCTTGAATAATGCATCAAATTTGATTTAGCTTTCTCTATTAGAACAAAACATTTGTGTTAACCATTTGTGAAAATCCACTTATTCTTTTTTAATGTTTATTTTTTCTTAATAAATATATCTGAATTCTAAATGTGTCCCAACAGCTCTTCATTTCTCAGACCTCACTGTTCCCCGACCCCTCCAGGTCCAGCCTTCTATCTAAATAGTATGTTCTTGTAAATACGTACTACTAGCTATCCAGGATATAGTTTATTCATCAAAGAATTTGTACTGCTGGAGCAAGATGAGGGTTTACTGTTACTGTTTTTTTTTTTTTATATGACCAAAGTACACATTCCATTCAGTTATTTGGAAAGAATACATTTCCAATATGTAACTAGCAAACAAAAAGTGGATAAGCTTTTAGCATGCCTTCTTACATTTTTAGGCTACTATTTCATCATTAGGAAACTTTTGCTTTTATGCACCAGCAATATTCCTGTTGCTTGAAAGAGTTCTTACAGTTTTACAAAGGACTACTGACTGACTTACAGGGAGTAGCTTAATGCAGGCTAAATCTGGCCGGCCCATGAAAGCCAACTCCACTTGGCATCTCCTAGTTATTCCTCTCTTTGCTGAGAATGCCTTCAGGAATGCCAGCTGTGAAGGTCTCTAAACTCCTGAGCTCTGTTCTGTCTCTAACTCCATTACAGACTTGTGCTTGTAGCCAAGGCGTTAGCTCTCTATGCCTGGCATACTCTTTTCTAAAACAGCGCCTTTTAATTTTTTCCTGCCTTTCAGTAACGTTCCCTTTGTAGACTAAAAGTAAAATATACTTCCTTTTTAGAGGCTCATTAACTCCTTTGTATTTGTTTTCCTAATCATAGTTTTAAAATTCAAAAGCAATACTCTATTTTAAAAGAGCTTTTAAATATAAAATTGACTTTTAAAATCAATATTCACCATCATATTGCACCAAATTTGTAATTACAGACCAATTTCCACAAACAGTCTGTTTCCTAACCTATTTGGATATATATTTTTAAGTGTTTAAAACTTTAGTTAAAAATTATTAATTTCAAAAAGTAATTAGATTTTTTTTCCCTTTCAACTTATTTAAAGCTCAAAAGCATCACAATGGAGAGTCACAGTCATGTGGCTTGAGCCTTTGCCTCAAGCCAGTACTGAGGGGCGCTCTGGAATGCTTCCTTCTGCTGCTGTTCAAGCCCTTTCCCCACAGATACAGCCCTGTGTGCCTGCTTAATCCGCAGGAGATTTAAAGCAGATGATCATAGTTCTTTGACAGTATTCTTGATACAGTGTCTTGGGGTCTTGCTGAGTAAAACATTCCCAATCCACTATCCCATTCTTTCAACTGCTATTTGTTTTCATCCTCTAACAATTTGTGTTACTTTTCTGTGGAGAAATTATCAGTTGTTGAATATAAATAATAATTTCTTCCGTTCTATAGCACCTGTTTACAAAAGCACTCTCAGATTTTACCACCATTGCAATGTGATCAGAAAAGCCATTTTTGCAACAATCCTGTAAAGCACAGATTTTTTCCCCTCATTTATAAAACAAACACTCAGAAAGGTTATGACCTGCCAGGATTACAAAGCTGTGTTGTATGCAACCAGACTAGAACCCATGAATATGTTTAGATTCTAGATCTAATGTATTTTCCATTTCACCCATTATTCTTTATCCTGAAGAGGTTTTTAATTTAATCAGACTATTTCTAAAAGTAAACTTAATACAGTCAATATTTATGAAAATATAAGCAATTACAAAAATTTAAATGATGAAAATATAAACAAATTTAAATATCTAAGTACTAAGAAGATATATTATCTGTCTTGAAAAACCAAGGATATTTGAATTGTAGATACATGAAAACTGTTACAACTATTTAACTTTTTTGTCAGTTCCTTTTATTTAACCTAAATATATACAAAACTTTGATTATATTATTTTGCAAACAAAAATGGAAAATCAATATACCTTTTTAAAACTCAAAGATCAAATAGTTCAGCAATGCATGTTTTTGACAAATGCATTGCTTACTTTAAAATGTAAGTGGGAGGTGGGGGATGGGTAGGGCAGGGGAGAGGAATGGGGGGAAAGGGGGACAACTGTATGATACTTATTACTGTACTGGGAGAACAATAACAAAAAAAATTAAATAAAAAGAAATATACCAAAATATGAACATAGTTTTTAGATAATGGGAATATGAAGCATTTTATCACTTTAAATGCTGTTCAATTTTATTTAATAAAAATACTTAAAAAATAAAATGTATGTTATTTTGATCAAGTAAAGTGAAAGTTTACATTTAATATCACTATTTAGGTTTTTCAATTAAAGGAATACTTGCACCAATGATAGCAAATACAGGACCTTCTAAGAAAGAACGCATATCATTCCGTGACAATCCTGTACAACTCAGTGGTGGATGGGGAAGTGGCAAAAAGAAGGCAAAAACTTCAAACTAGTTCTTCAAACTTCAGCAAATGGCACTCAATTTCTTTCAGAGTTCTGTGGATGTCTGGTCATGTCTCAACCGTGCAGATACTTTGGTCGTGTTACCAATTGGATACAAGGTTTTAGGACACTGTATTTCATTTGTATTTTCATTCATATTTTAAAATTTTGTTTTATGGTATAGTTATATAATTTCCCTTCTGTAAAATGCAGGTTTGCTCTTGTTCCTATGTTCGTATATAATGGCCTCCAGAAATTAATTCTTGAACTATTGCAATGGAATTTGCATATTCAAATTCTTCTTTAAAATTTTGATTGGTGTATTAAAGAATTTTTTATGAATAATAAATTGCAATACTGCACACATAATAGAATATAATGTATATTTCATTGACTTTATAGTATTAAGAAATAATATATTAATAAATTCTACTTGACCAGATTATTATAATTAACTGTTTCAAAGATGAATTGGTATATAAAGTAACTCAGAGTAGACAATGAAAATATCCTTCATTTTTGTTTTACCTTGTCACCTTAAATAGATTAGAGTTATGTTAAGAAAATATATATTCTATTTAAGTTAACATGAAATAAAAATTTTAGTATTTATTAATTTAATGAATTGGATATTTTATGTATAGTTTTTCATTCAGATGTATGTTACTCTTATTTATAAAAGGTAGATACTAATTTTTATTCATTAACATTATTCTACTGATTCAAAAATACATTATCACTTTAATTTTTGTTAAGGTGCTTTAAAAGTACCTTTTAAAAATATTTTTAAGGCTCAAACCCACAATTTCATAATATTCATATATTGCCTAAAATGACAGACCAGTTTTATTAAACTCATACTATTGTGTGATTAATATTCTGTGATATCATAGTAAATATAGTGTGCAAAATGATGCATTTACTTTAATGCCCTTTAGAATCTTTTACTTTCCTGAGTCTGAAGCTTTTTTCACAAAGTTAAGTTCTCCAGTGACTTTTCAGTGTGTTGTTCTGTAATAGGAGCCAATGAACTTTAGGGTTTTTTCCCCTTTTTTCTACTTTGTAATGAAATATTTTATCTAAAAGTGACTAAGCAGATTTAGAGATGCATTTATTTAGTTTGTACCCCCATCTACTTTTGGAGCTCGACTGCATTTCAAACCTGTAAATTTCTTTTAACTTGATTGAGACAGAAATGCTAATGAACCTTGAGCTGTCAGTCGATGTAGAAAACTTAGATTCAGATGTTGCGGCTTAGAAATTGAGCTTTGGAACGTAAACTCCATGTGTAGTTGCTTTATAAGCATGCTGTTATGCCATCCTTTTACTAACAATACCCACAAACCAACATAATGTGACGATAGAAATTATTTTATCTCAGCTTATTGTGAACCCTGCAGGAGAAATCCACATTAAAGCTGATATTGATGGGGTTTTATGGTTCATATATCCAAATCAATTAAGTGAAAAGGCTAGTATGAGTCTTGAGATGCTTATCATTAAACTGTTTTAGTGCCTAAAAATAATTTAATTTATAGTTTCCTTATTCTGTGATCTGTGTAATCGTTTCATAATATTAATTTTGAGGAAGATGATGAGTATTGATGTTCCTTAAAATTTAGGTGATTATATATATGTGTTATATATATAATATATTTCTTCAATAAAATAATATCCTAACTATGGTGTTAAATTGAAAATTCTTTGCAGTGTTGTTTATTTTGTTCAGCCTTAAAATGATCATTAAAAAAATCTCTCAGTGTTCAAACTTATTTTAATACTAGTATATGTGTGTTTATGAAAGTAGAAAAGATAAATTTTAAATTGAATACATTTTAAATTTTAGTTTTAAATTTTAGTAAATAAAGCCTGAAAGAAATCAAAACAAGAGATAGTCTTTCTTCTGTGTCTTTTGGCCAACATTAAGGCAAAATTTGTCTTTAAGATTTGTGAAGATAAAAATATGAACCTAAATTGTCACTTACTTGACTAAATTATGGATTTACAGTGATAGATCTAGGCAATGTTACTATTCAAATATACCCATATGACCCAAAATGACATTTTGTCCTTTCCTGCACCGTCTGTCCTACCACCAACCTCTTCCCAACTCAATCTTCACCTTTCTACCTGTCCTCTTCCCCCACTGCTATCTAAGCAACTATCATCACTGACTTCTAATAAGAACGGTAAAGCGAATCACTTTATAAATGCTGATAAAAATGTTAAGTAGGGTATTTGGAGATTCTAGAATGTCTTGATTTGACAGTTAACTATATTGATTTTTGGAGCTATCACCTTCTTAAGGTTCAGTCTGTCAACATGACCTTTGTGCACAATGGCTTATTATAAGATATCTTATTAGGTGTTTGAGGAAGCATTCCAAACCCTAATTTCTTATTGTGCTCATAAATTAGTTGGAAACACGGCACTCACATATTATTTTTAAATGGCAGAATAATATAACCACAGCCAAAAGCACTGTTCTAGACACTGTTTTGCCTTAGAGGCAATAGAGAATGCACTGGGATTCTTAGAAACTAGTTTTCAGTTGTTGTGGTGTTTTTTTTTTCTCTAAGAAAACAAAGAAGAGTGCATTTTAACTAGAAAAAAGTATGCTGGAAGGTACAGGCATGAATAAAATGTTTTGAAATTATAATTGCAAATGAACAGTAAGTAATGGTGTTTTAAGAGATCTTGTCTAATTTTAAATCCTTACATCATCAGCATAATAAGCTTTGGTTCTTATACTTCCGGATTATATTGTTTAGTTATTGAGTTGGCCATTGCCATGTTTTTCTCTTATTTCGTAATTCACTCATATTTCCTCTCATTTTTCTCAAAATCTGGGTAGCATTGATATGAAGTTTAACATAATAAAATTAAACATAGGATATATGTTGATAATATTTAACTGAGAGTACTCTATAATCAAAGTAATTATAATAACTTTCTTAGTAAAAATTTTTTGGCCCTGGCTGGTGTGGCTCAGCAAATTGAATGCCTATCTGCAAACCACAGGGTTGCCAGTTCGATTCTCAGTCACGGCACATGCCTGTGTTTCGGGCCAGGTCCCTGGTAGGGGGTCCCAGAGAGGCAAACACACACTGATGTTTCTTTCCCTCCCTTCCCCTCTCTTTAAAGATAAATAAAATTGTAAAAAAATTTTTTTGAAAAAATGTCACTTGTCATTTGCTTAATGGAGGTTAAATAAGTGGATAAGGTCTCCTGTTATAATTATATTTCCTTTATTATCATGTTTTCTACCAAATGTAGTTTCCATGACCTTTAAAGGCTAGAAAATTATTCACCATCTGGATTTATGATACTTATTACTGTACTGGGAGAAAGTGAGTTATCTAGTGAATATACTTTAATTTAGAAGAAGAAGCCCCCCAAGGCCTTCTACAGAATAACTAATCACAAATAGGAAATCTAATTCTACTGTCCATTTCAGTATAAAATTAAATCCACTATCTACCATCATATTTTTGCCTACCTGGATGAAGCATTTTTTGTCATTGATGATGTGAGATGAAGAGAAAACCTCTTTTCAGCAGATAAATAACTTTACTCTAGATCTATGCTGTCTAGAACATTAGCCTCTAACCACATGTACCTACAGGGTACTTTGAATACATTTTTGTCCGAATTGAGATATGAAATATAAAACAACAGATTTCAAATATTCAGTATGGCAAAAGAATGCAAAATTATCTAATAATTGTATATTGATTATATTAAAACAATAGTATTTTGGCTTATATAAAATGTTATAAAATATTTTGTCTATTTTTTAAATGTGAGTGCTAGAAAATTTTAAATTATATATATTTAATGATGTTGCATTTCTATTGAATGACACTGATCTGGAGGCTATTCTGTGAGATAACTTATGTAGGGTGTATTGATGCAGAATATAATCAGTCAGATAATAGATAAAAGATAGTGATCACAGAAAATAGGGCCTAAAAATCCTATTTCAAAAAAGAAAACTTTTATTCTGCTAAAAATAGTGACTATTACAAAGTAAAAAGGAAAGATAACTTCCATTATGGTTCAGTCCTAGACTTTAAGATGGCATGGTTGAATTTAACTGTATTAATAAAATTTATATTTTTTAAAAATTTGGTTTTAATAACAGAACATCTTACAAAGTTCAGTTGAAATCTTTTGTTACTGATGATAAGAAATGGAATTAGCACTCACCTAGTAAGTCTACAGTGTATCAAGCTTTACATTAGGATAGCTGTTAAGTTTTCAAATGGCATTTATATGAGCTGTGACATAAATGGGATATTTTCATGGGAGCCATATTATATTTGGCATCCTAATCTAAGGCATAAAACATAAAAGCCAATAAGAGTTACAGAAATGAACATAATACATTGGAAAATAAATGTGTGTTTATAACTTCTAAAAGCATGTAATCAACATATACTTTATGCGGTACGGCTCAACCACCATTCTTCCCTTGCTGCAAATATCGTGTAGATCATCTACTGTTCCTAGGAGCCAGAATTTTACCCAAACCAAAAACTGAACAACTTTTCACATGGCTTTTTATTTATAACTTATATCCCTGCCCACACATTAGGGTATGAGCCCTCTCTCGTAGATCTGGAATGGCCACCTATAGAAAAGAAATCAGGAGGACTCTTTAGAGCTCTGTCAGAAGAATGAATAAGGCAGAATGAAAGGGCGAGAGAGCACCACAATCGGTAATGTTTAGTTTAACACTGGGAGGTGAAAGTAGGGGCTTCCCTTGTATTTGTCAGATTCGCTTTTGCAAAATAACTAACCAAGGCGCTACAAAAAGAAAGATCCTTTGTGTGACACTTTTGAGAAAGGTGAACCAATTAACATTACAACAGGTAAAATTTTCCTCTTATTGCAAGGCTTATTTTTCCCATGACTGAATGTAATCTTCATAGCATTCCTCCCTTTTAGGAGATATTTTTATGACCATTTTTACATTGCAAGAGCAAAGGTGAGAAAACACTTCAGGCTC